CTGAAAAGAGTGGCTGTGTGGCTGTTTTGGAGTGAAAAAAGTCTTGGAAACTTAGTGGATCCTTACTGAGAATGTGGCTAAGAGTCTGGATTTATTCTAATAATAATAATACTCCTTCTGTGAGCAAGACTGAATGTAAACAATTTTCTTTTCTTTGCACAAGTAAAGCAGCAGCTTGTAGCGATCCAGCTGAGTATGCAGAAAGCTGACTCAACGAGTGTGTCTCTGATATGTTCATCCTTTATTTGTCGGCTCGATACAGTTCTTTTTGTTCAGAAATAGAGCAGAATTTGCAGAAACCGTTATCTAGAATACCAAGGGCTGCTAGGTCAATGTTCTAAAATGTGTGCTTGGAGCTTGGGCTTCTCTACTTCCCTTTCCCTTCTCTTCTTTTCCCTTGGTACCTGCCAGCTTGTTCCTGGGTTGTTAAGTTGTAAACTCTGGAAGAAGGATGCTGGGGACAGGGGGAAAAGCTTCTTAGACTATGATAAAAATGATGATCCGCTGTTTGGATGTATAGTGAATAGTTTCCAGGTTCATATTAGGTGTTGGAGGGGGCCAGTCCTGTTCAGCAAATTTGGATTTCTGCTTCTTTCACGTTTTCTTCAGGACACAAGTATACACATAGTTGTAGACACACAAACTTAAAAATAACATTGTAAGCTTATATGTTCTTGTTTTAATTTAGGAAAATAAAGAAGCTGAATATGAAAAGCTGATCCTTGCTTTAAGAAAGGAACAAAATATTTATTCTACACTAGTGAAGACCTTCAAAGAATCGGATAGGTAAGAAATTTTTCTGCTTTGGTGGATACTCTAAACTCAAAGGGCAAAAGTCAGAAGTTGTGAAACAAGGTGCAGCTTAACTGGAGAGGTGATTATTTTGTACCATTCACAAGGCATAAGCTAGCTGTAGCAGTCGCCTTTAAAGAGAACTATTTTTGTAAGTGGGGCTATATTATCTAAATTACTTAAATGTTTCTGAAAATAATTCTGTTTGGATTGGAATCTCGTATGAGGCAGATTTCCGGTTAGGTACCAAAGCAAGGAGCTAGATTGTCAGGAGGTATGTGTCCTGTGTTGGAGTATAGGGGAAAAAATCAAATCACAGTGAACTTTTGGGTGATGGACAATTTGCCATGGTTTACTCCAAAATACAGATAATGCTTATCTTAAAAGTGGCACTGTGAGAATTTTGATGAGAATATAAGCCAATAAGATTTTGGAGAAGGTTAAACAAAACAGAATAATTGAAGTTTGCATAGTATGCTTTCAATGTAAAGCATTCAGAAGTGTGGCAGGAGCAGGTGTTTTTTAACCTTTTAAAATCAAAGAACACAACATTTTAGAAAGAAATCTGTGGCCTCCTTTGTATCCTGTTATTGCTTGGCTGTTGAGGAGGAGGCATTATGATAAAATAAAGAAAATTCTTAGCCTATAGGTAAAATAAATTTAAACATTTTATAAAAAATGTACTGTTATAATTACAAATTTCTTAATTAGTTATTGGCAGCATTTGAGAGCTAGCTCCTGACTCTTCCTGGCTGAAGGCCATGGCTCATACCTGCTGACTTGGTGGGAATGTGTGTTTGTATTTTGCAGTTAGTTTGTAGACCACTACAGTTGGGAAACCATAAAGTGAGTAGCACTAAAGTAGATGAGATCTGGTATTTGACTTAGGCGCATTAATAGTAATGCCATCTTGTGCTTGGCCCCAGCTCAGAAGCTCTCTTAGATACTAGAAACTTTTTTTTTTTTTGTGTAGAAACAATGATAGAAGTTAGATTATGGAGATTAGTTCTTATCTCTGGGAAAAGAGCAATGGCTTTTGTGCCTTTTCTGTTGAGCAGTCGCCAAATGCAGGAAGAAGCCCATTTGTTTTAATATTTCATACGGAGGGTGTGCCCTGCCATTGAAACACGTTGTGTGGGTAGGGCGGTTGTCAGCACTCTGTGTAGTAATGACAACAAAGTAACGTAACTCTGATACCAGTTTTTCTTAGCATATCTTTCAAATGAGGAAAATAATAACTGTAGTTATGATCATTAGGGTAATAGGAGTTTTCCAATTCTGTAGGATCAGGATCATTAGTTCTGATTTCTTGGTACAGAGCTATAGGATGCGCAGAGCAGTGCACGTTATGCAGCAATTTGCAGAGGATGCGCAATCATTCAACAGCAGAGCTGGCAGTTGCAGGCAGGTCTTCTCCTTTCTCCACCTTGTAGTTTTGTGGGCTGAGATGCGCTGTAAATATTGTGAAGGAAGACTTGAGCCCCCAAAGTTCTGGGGAGCTGATAAACAAGCCCTGCAGATAAATTCAGCTTCCTTGTGTTACTGCCATCAGCAGTGACGTGGATTTTAGGCAAACATCTGTTTTCTTGCTGACACATCTTCTTTTAGGCATTATTTATTTTAAGCAACGTGGATAGTTGTTTTTCAAAATAGGCTACCGGATGTCAGGACCAAGACATTTCCCGTCTCCCCAAGCAGGGAATCGATGCTTTTTCTTATAAAACCTTTAACTCATGAAAAGGAGAAAATTTGCTTACTTAGCTTCTAGTAATGTGTTCATTTGTTTTTATTCTTAATTTTTTGCTGAGCATTTAAGATCTCTCTTGAAGAGAGATGCTCTTGAGTGAGGGAGAATTGGTGGAAGCAATAGTCTCTTGTGCAGGAAACACAACAGCACACTTGTCAGAAGGCAGACTGAAAGACTTTTCGTACATGCTGTCTTTTAATTAATGCATTTCTACAATATGCTGTTATTCTCATGCAAGTGTGATGTGCTGTATGTTCCTGTATAGTCTCTTGTAAGATGGATTTAAATTTTTTTTTAAAGATTCTTGAATTCTCTGGCATTTTAGTGCAGTGGACTGGAAATTCTACAACAGCTTAATTTATCTTAAAACACTGAGGTTCTGAGCAAAATAAATGTGAAAATAAATAATCCAGTGAGCTCAGTAACACCTCATTATTTATTTGTTATTAAATCCAATTTCTTTCATTTTATACAATTTATTTATTTCATACAATTCCAGTTTTTAGTGTACTTAAGTCTTTTTACAGATTGATCAGAACTGTCATGTCGATGTTGTTGAAGGGCATGGGGAAGATCTAGCCAGGGACATTCAGAGGTGCTGACACTCTAAGGCCTGAGGGACAGTGACTGGTGCTAAAGTAAGAGCTTCAGTGGCTGCTTTGGAAGAAAGCTGCTTAAAGAATTAATTCATGTTGACAAATTATCATTTGTAAGTTTTGGCATTTACACCCCATTGAGATAATTGAGACAATTTAGACCTTAAAAGGTCTTTTTACAGACTGTCAGATAAATGAAGAAAACAGTTAGTTGTGTCTGGGTCATGTTTTCAATGAAATGTGATTTTTTTATTTTTTTCCTTAAATGGAGCATTAGATTATATAGTATAGTTCTGCAGCAAGGGAACAAAGTTTCCATGGTCACCGTATAATGGAATACACAGAGCCATCAGTATTATGTGATAATGATATTTTTCTGGCATACTTTTCAGAAGTTAGTAATTTTGATTTTCCTTAAAAAGAATTACCCAGAAGTTGGCTGGTAGAGTATATCTGTCATGTTTAAGCTGACTTACAAGCAGCACAGCTCACCACAGCAAGAAAAGGATCTATATGGAAAGGGTTGGTCTCATCTTTTCGTGCAGGGATTTGTTTATTCTTATGCATCAAAATGATGTAACTGTGTGATGAAGAACAGTGATGGCTGCTGTGAAATGGGCTCTTTGTGGGAGCCGAGACGTATAAAAGATGCTGAGGTGCACAACAAAATGTTTTGAATTGAATCATGAATATTTTTTTTCTCCTTTTTTTTAGTATAAATAGCTTGCAAACAGAACTAAACAACATTTTCATGTTGCGCAAACAACTAGAAGAAGATGTTTTAGCTAATCGGAATCTGCAGAAGATCTTAGAAGATCAGATTAAGGACATTAAAAACCGACAAGGTCTGTATGCATTTGCAGCCCCATCCCTTTTCTTGATCTTCTTGCACAAAAGAAAACTGGTTTTATTACGGTCAGTTTACTAGGATGGAGAAGAAACATTTGAGAGTAGAAAAAGGTGTGAAAAACTTATTTTCAGCTTTCTATACTGAAAATTATTTGGGGAATTTGTAACATACTGTCTTTGAGCAATCAGGGCATATACAGAGGGACAGCTTTTCTCTTTCTATGCAGCAAATGTTAGTAATTCTATAGCACTTCTACTGCAGCGATCATTTCAAGCTGCCTACAATTTTGTACCCATAGAATTTACCGTTTTCTGCAGAAGTCAGAGATTCCTGGCTTTGAATAAATCTGTGGCCATGGGATCACTTTCTGGACGTGGAATGTAATTATTTCACAATACTTTGGTAAAGACCTTGTGTCTCAGGAAATGGCTGCACTCCTCCTAACAGAAGAAGTATCTCCAGAGACAGAAAAAATAGCCGGAAGTTTTGTTATTTTGTAATTCAGAAAAAGTAGAGCTTTTAATTTTGTACTTCTTTGGAGGTGTTTTTAGTATATACTTAGATATAGAAAAGAATAACGTACGTGGACATTGTTAAATATAGCTTACTGCATATGTACAGATGTATCGGTTTTATTCCATAGGGGATATATAAATAACAATAAAGCCTGTTCACTTACCCCTTTAAACTTAGGTTTTCAATTTTAGCATCGCTGCCTTGACAGCTATGATAAGTGACAAAAGGAAAGCTTCTGCCGTTTCAGAGTTTCCAACCTCAAAAGCACAGAGATGATGAAGAACCAGGGTAGGCCAAAGGGTCTTGTGGATGCTCCTGGGTTCTCAAGAGCAGTTGTGCTGAGGGTGAGGCTGATAGGAATGAAGGCTCTGAAAATCAGTAATCATTTGTGAAGCCTTGGGTCTGTGCAGCAGCCATGGGATCAGTGTCAGAGCCGGGAGTAGGATTTGGATGTCTCTTCTTTGTCCTAATTTAGATATGCTTTCTCCCTGTCTAATGAGATATATTTATAGAATTAACTGTCACCTATATTGTAAATGAACAGGTGTTTATTGAAACATAACAAATCATTCCTGCAGTTAAAGAGGAAATGAATAAGTAGCTATTTTCAATTCAATTAATGCAATCTTTTGACCCAAAAGCAAAATAAATTCAATAACTTTGTCTAACCCGGCTTTTTGCCTGGGGACCTTGAGTTCATGCTCACAGAAATATCGTTAAAACAGAATAACTATTCATGCCTTACTTATCCTTCCTAAAAATTATTTCTAATTGTAATGCTAAATATGCAAATTATAATTCAGAATTACGTTCACAACTCATGCTGATAACCACAGAAAATACAGCCACAGAAAATACAGCATGTCTCCGTGTCAGCAGCACAAAGAAATATGAGGACCAAATTTGTTCAATTAAACAGAAAGCTTATTTTGGGGGATGAAACATTTTAACTGGCCTCCCACAGACTTACTAGTAGATTCTTATTTGAAAAGTCCTGTCATTGCATTTTATGCTGTGTTTTCCTGCAAATAGAGTTTCTGAGATAATTCCTGTCCTTGGTTATTTTGACAGATGAAACACTGTCTTCCTGTGGAGATCAAACATCTTATATGAGTATCTGTTTAGGAGAGCAAGATCATTTAAGCCTACAGACAGACCATCTGTCTCTTGAAGAACTTAAGAAAAAGGTATTGATCTTTTTTTATTATTTACTGTTTCTAATGGCTTAATTCTGCTTCATTTATAGTTTGTGCATCTCTCACAAAAAGGTTTATTTAGGTACAGTTGGGTAGTTCTGAAAGGATTTGAAATTCTCGTCTCTGTGGTTTGGGATCCACGTGTTATGAACTATTTAGCCTTTGTTACAATACATGAGCTTCAGAATCAGCTGCAAGATAGGTGGATTGCTGCAAAGGTTTTATGATAGCTAGACACCTGGGTTCAAGTTTCAGACTCAATACCATATTTTAGTCACCATAAAGTATACCAACTCCGAAGAAAAGTTCTTGCATTAAGTGTCCTACAATGTGTATTTCATGCACCTTTATTCATTACGAAGATGGTAGTGGTATCTATAACTTAAGCTTCTGTATAGCACACTCCATCCCAGGATTTGCATCTTTGGGTAAATATGGCATGTTATAAAACAGCCCTGAGGTAAGTTAGTGTTGTCGCCATTCTACATAAGGAGAGCTGAAATTCACAGAGATTAAATATGCAGAATATTGTCATACAATAAATCAGTATCGGAGTTCAGAACTGGTTCTTCTGACTCCTTACCCTGTGCAGTGACCTCTGATCCATGCAGCAGTTTATGATAAGGAGTTATTTTGAATCTGGTTGTTTGGGAGTAAACATAAATGAAATTTTACATTTCTCATGGCCAGCTGAATTGTAGGCAAGTGTTCAAAATCTGGAGGTGGGTAATCGGAAGGAAAGAAGTTTGCCTTCCACTGAACAGGTGTCAATAAAAAAAAGCCCCAGATTGTGTCCCAGTCCTGTTCTGGGGTTGTGCCGCTTTTATCTCTGAATATATTCCCTTTGGTAGGTTCAGGGACACTCATTACCAGAAGACGTTTTATAAACCATTTCTTACCTGAAAAAGGGTTTGCATGCCTGGAAACTCATTTGTTTTTTCCAAATACATTAATTGGTCTAATAAAAAGATTTCACTTTCTCCTGCAAACATTGCGTTCTTGATATACTACATCAGTCCATGACAGTAGTGTCTGTTCAAGTGTCCTGAACATGATTGTCCATTTAGATTTTGTATCTGTGAAACTACTCAGAATGATAGTGGCTTATAAAGGGTATTCGAGATAGAAGAACTGGTTGTTTCTGAATGCTATTTCCCTGTAATGCTGGTTTCCCTTGCGCTAAAGTGTTTCTTCTCAAGTCAGTCTGTTGGTTTGAGGTGCCCTCAGGTTTCTTCTTGCTACTGAGTTGTGAACTTGATACCTCAACTTAATAACACAGCTGGAAACTATGGTCTTACAAGTTAAGATTTCTTGAACTCTAACTCACAAAATATGTAATCATGTTTTTCATACACAGTGAGATTGCCTCATGAACAGATGTAGGAGTCCAGGCTTTCCAACTCTGCAGTTTAGATTTAGCAGGAGATTGATATATCACAATTTGTTTTCATACTAGTATGGATGTTACTGGGTTTGCTTGTTCTTCCTTTGGTTATTTAGGTTACTGACCTTCTCTTGATGGTTAAGGATCTGCAGTCAATTAATCAAGAACTTAAGAAAAAACAGCTTGGACTTTGTACGACAGATTCTCAAGGGAAGGAAGCACAAAAAATACTAAACCACAGTGAGGTAGGTTTTCTGTGTTAAAGTAGTGAATCTGACACATCTCATCTACCTTGTGGAGTCATTTACATCAGTGCAGAATGAGTGTAAAACCCTCGGGGCTTAGGTTGCTAATTCCTTATAATAAGTTTTTAAATTAATGATGTAAACAGCTTTAAGATGTTAGCACAACAGAGAATCAAGTGTTCAGTGATGTGTCAAGTTGGTTTTAAGGAAACAACTTATACATTAAAATATTAATTGGGTCCGTGAGACATTTGTTTTGCCAATTGAAAGGGGAGGAAATAGTTATTTTTACAAAGAAAGCAATGTCTTATATAATATTTTAGCTGTTACTGAATGCTTGTCTACTGGTCGAGAGTCATTCTCATGCTGTGTCTAATGCTGTAAGAGCTTAGTTCGTATCTCCTCTGCATCTACAAGACATCTAGGGTTTGCATGGCCAAAAAAGAAAGAATAGCACTTTGAGTAGCTTGAATGCACAGTTGTCCTTTCATATAGAATAGAGAAGTATATGAAGAAGTGGCCAGCGTTGTGGTAGATTGCTGAGAGGTGCAAGGGAGTAATCATTGGTGGGTGTTTCATTCCTGTGCCCAAAGCTAAGACTTTTTAGCTATGGGGAAGAAGAGGTCTTGGCAAAATACTGCCACTGAGAAGCATTTTGGGTGCTGGGTGCCCATGTATCTTATTATATGTGAATGATGGAGGATGTTCAGGAGGCTCTGGTGGATTCTAGTGAGCCTTCTAGCTTGTTACAAGGTATTACTGGTCGTACTTCTCTTTATATTGCGTTGTGGTTTTTGCTTTCAGCTACGTTGTTCTTGTGCACCACGTATTGAATAGGAAGGTAAAAATATAAAAGGAATAATGATGGTGCTGGTATTTTGTGTCTTGAATTTCTCAGTTAAACTCGAACCAAAAATTAGGAATAGTTTGAATCAGCTATGTATAGTGATTGCCTAATTCTAGAACTGTGACTGTGGTATTGATGATTTTTCTGCAGGACAGTTTATTCTGCAGGGCTCTGGAAAATGGGTCTTGTCTTTCACCGTATGTGCTGCAGATGCGCTGGGAGCAATCATCAAAAGTCATGAAATACCCTTGCCTTTTCAGTTCTAAGGCATGCTCGTGTTACCTTTAATTGAAATATGGTTTAAATTATAGATCGACCTTTAGGCGTGCCATGGCTTTTATTAAAATAATGAATTTACATGTTACTGTAATTGGCTTGCATGAAAGCTTGTGGGCAATCTGTTTCAGAGTGCATGCGCTTTCTATAGATTAATATTTTTAGCAATTTGCCTCGGCATCCTGCAGAGGGTGCTACACCCCCACTGATGCCGGAGTTAATACCAAAGGAATTCGTGTCCTGTGCTCAGATTATCATGACAAGATACTGTGAGCTCCTGCATTTGGCTCGGCATGAAAAGTACATATAGGGCTATTTACTGAAGAAGCTGTCGACGTGAAATTAGATGTAGAATGACAAAGACTGAAGCTTGTAAAATATAAATAAACGTCAAAATTCTGGTTAAAGAAAATAGGAAAGTAACATAAGGTATTTTAACCTGTGCCAGAATGGTAATGGTACTATGGAGCTCAATTAAGGATTGTAATTAAAATGGAAAGGGTCTGTAATTAAAAGTTTTTAGTTTAAAAGGGACCATTTTATCAGTCTTGACAATTAAATTGCAACCTGGATTTCAGGTTGTGGATTGTGACAACTGTGTGTTTTGCTTATTAATAACCATTGTCAAAACCCCTAAGTTCTATTTTTTTGGTGTGTGTATTTTGGGATAGAATTTGTTGGCAGGTAGTGCTGAGATGACACTAACATATGTGCTATAAGAAGAATTTGGACAGACATGGGAAGATGTATCCTCGGGTTCTTAAAATGAACCCATCTTTCTTTTCCTTCGCAAAGCTGCAGCACAAATGAGATGAATCTGCATGTTGGTGCCTCTGCAGGGCATCTCCCAAAGGTCTGACAGCCCCAAGGACTCTATTTCTAGGCTTCATGCTCGGAAGGGAGGGAGGAGGAGGAGAGAAAAAGGTTGTTTTTGTACTGTCCTCTGAACATCTGCTTTCTCTGAGAGAAGCAGCCTCAGTGATTTCAGCCTTCAGGGCTCCAGGGATCTTTGCAAACCAAGCATATCACTGATTCATTTAGGAAAAACATTCTCAAGGTTTTCAGTCTCCAAGGAAATACTTTAAACAGGCAGCTTATTCTTGGTAGACTTTTTACTGGCCTTAAGACACTTATTTTCTTTTAATATTTTGTTGAACATTAGGTTGTATTCCTTGGAGCACAGAAAGTTTCTTTTCAGCCTCTCAGACATGGGACCTCAAACCGCAGTCGTTTGTTGTAATAGCCATAACCGGTGGGTCGTGTGTAATAGCTTCATTCTACAAAACATCACTTATTAAGCCAAATACAGGCCTGGGAAAAGCAAATACTAAAAAATGTTGAGTCATAAAGGGTAGTTGCTTTGGGTGGATAAGTTATATATGCAGATAAGTTTAGTTTTAATACACAAATGCAGGGTTTGACCTGAATCCACACAGGGAAGATTAAACCTTAACAGTGTTTTTTTGTTTTTTAGAATAGCTAATGTTATTGGACTTTTGGCATCCCATGATTACAACAAAAAGACTTTTTTTTTTTTTTATAATGCATGCCCTTGCTATATATCACAATCCTATCTGTGTCTTCCATTAGTTTTCAGATTGCCTTTACTTTGTGTTGTCCTAGAAAACAAAGTCTGAGTGGAAATATCAAAATAATTCAAACATGGCTCGGAAGTTAGTTTTCAATATAGATTTCTAATAGTAAAAGGCAAATTACTCTGCGCCATGAGGTTTCTACCTTTTAAAATTCGTACTTAAAACCATTAGAGTTGCTTATACTGCTAGGGATTGGAAGATAAAAAGGCTTTTCTCATTTATTTAAAAAAATATGTATATATATGCATACATTCTGTGCATACTCAGTTAAAAAAATCAAAACCCACACATGCATTCAATTCCCAGTGTTCTTAGGAAGCAAAAATAACGCTCCCTGCAGAACCCTGCTTGTCTGCGATTGGACTGGCGAGCTGTGAGCCAAGGCTTTCCAGCATGTGATACTGGGGAAGCGGGTTTCTCTCTCCAAGCCGCACGTTTCAGCACTGCGCTGTATATCCTTCAAAGCTATAAATATTACATCTATGACCCCTAGGTACCAGTTTCTTTCCTTCCAGTCTGTCATCTGAGTCTGTACCTATAATCACAATTTTCTGTAGCTATGTTCAGGATTCTGCTTTTCTTGGCTTCAGATAATTTTTCTTTAGCCCAAATTGACCAAAATAGGACTGTTCTACACAGCAGCACTGTACTATGGCCAGAAGATCTTAAGACTAAAATTTTTATCTAATGCAAGTTTGAATCCACTGTGCTGTGTCCTACCTATGGTTTAGGTATATTAGGCATGGCATCGTTGATACTTACCATCACTCTCGTATGTTTTTACTATTTAATGAGATTCTAGCAGCGTAGAGATAGGTATCTATCTTTTTCTATTAGATTGGGAAATGTTGCTATAAACCAAGAGGGTATAAATGTCCAGTCTGGTCTTGTCACAGGGGAGTGGTGAAATGTGGTAACTGCAGGTCACTCATGATGGATCCCAAAGTTTTCTTGTACTCAGGTGGTTGTCCAGCAGGCTGTGCCAGAATGTGGCTACTGAATATAATCATTCTTTGTAAATACAATTTTTTCTCACAATCAGTATTAAACTGACATAGGCAACGCTAAATTCCATCCTCTGTTGCCAGAGGAAACTGAGTAAAGGAGGCGAGTTGTAAGTGAGATGAAAATGTTCTCCGTGAGCGGTGTGTAAGTGAAGCTTGCTCAGTAGTGGTCTTGGCTGCGGTGGAGAGCAGCAACGTGTGCGCCTCGTCCCTTGCTTGCAGAGCTGTTGCTGAGATGTCACATGCAGCAAAGCAAAGGGATTCTGGTCTTGCTGTCAGTTATGCTGATGTCAGGAACTTGGCTTCTGCTACTAAAAAAGCTGAGTCTTCCTCCTCTTTGCTCAGGAAATATTAATCATGGGAGATGGGCTGGGTTCTGTGGCAAATAGGGAGAAAAAGATGATTTGGCACCGTTTGCTCCAGATCGGCAAATAGGCAAGACAAAGCAGATTGTAACCTCCGGTGTCGCTGTAAGTCTTTTTAGTGTATAGCAAACTACATGTGCTTTGTTTTAAAAGCATCTATTTCTTGGATGCTGGAGAAGAGCCTAAATTGTGTAGCAAATGAAAATAAATTCTGGAAATTGGAAAATAAAACAGGCACAATGAGAACATGACTGAAGACATAGAGGTCCTTTGTCAGAATGAGGTTAAGTGATTTTTATATTTTTTGTAAGTTCTGAGGGGAAAGGGTTAAATAAAAATGAAGGAATGTATAAGATAAAGTTTCACTGTATTGAATATGAGTCATTCCTGGTGTTTATATTAATTTCCTTTGATCTTGTTGAAGAAATCTAATTCAGTGTTTGTTACTTTGTATTACAGGCTTTTTTTATTTTTCTTTTAAGACATGTCACTGACTTATTTATGCATGTTTCATATCACAGTATTTTTTTTGTGCTACATTTTCACATCATTCCATACTTTGTGTAGTGTCTTGAAATAACAGAGGAGCCCGTGATGCAGGCGGAAGGTAGTGACAATGATGGGAAGAGGCAGAACAGTCGGTTTTCTGAGAGGGTCAGTCAGGTAGGACTCCACTCTGGGTACATTATGTTACAGCACTCTTTTCTCTGCGTGCCTTTAAAAATTCTTATTTTCTTAGAACACAAAGTCTTTTGCAAACAAAGCATGCTTTTCTTGGTGTCTGATTTTGCTTTCAACTAATTGTTATCCTAAAGAGTTTCTGCAAGCTTTTTCCTGTATTTTCCTGCTGTGAGGGTTTTGCGGTCAGGATAGCTTTGGTTCTGGTCCTTGTTTTCTCTCATTTGAGTACTCATGATCTCCCTTAATGGGAGGACAGAAAGCCCCTTGAAATTTTGTTTCTTTACATACACACACACACACTGATCTCCAGCCTCCATTGCAGTCAGGCCTATAGCACAAATTGTGTACAATTCACTTGCTGCTATGATTGAGGAAAAAGTACTGTAGATCCTTCTTCAGGGTTGAAATACTTGATGTCTTGGTAACTTGTTGACCACATTTTCATACCTGCAGGAATCTGCTGTCCTCTTACTCTGTCATTCAAAAGCAATCTAGTATAAAGCATCACAGCATCATAAAATAATTCAGGTGGTAAGGGACCTTAGAGGATCAGAATGCAACTAAAGTTGAACCTTTCTGTTTTAAAAATTCTAACATGCTAAAATATGACACAAACTGGGGCATTTTGATTGGTAATGTTGAAGAATAATGATGCTCTGTTCTTTGAAATTTGTAATTTCTGTGTTTTCTCTGTTTACTAGCTATGCCTTCAAGTATCTTTGGATTTTCCTTCTGAGCTGGATAAACAGGTAAGTGATGTATTGTAAAAGTTCTTTTGACTCTTAAACTTCTTAATCTCTCACTGCTGATGTATACTGATAAAAACTGTATCCAAATGAGCCCAGTGTAAATTCTCATGTAACTGATACAGAAGACTTCCATTGATTTAAATGGGAGTTGTGTTACTGGAGAAAACCCAGGTAGAAACTTCCTAGGACACATCTATGGTATTGCACACAAAAAGTTGGCAGTTTGTAAATACTTCAAGTTGCATCCTATCCTGGCCATCAGGGCTTACATCTGGAGAGGCCAGGGCAGAATTTGGTACTGTAAAGACAGATAATTCAAAGGTGAACTAATAAAAAGTTAGCTGCAATCTGCAGGCAACATTCCAGAAGTTTCATACCTCTTCAGAGATAAAGACCTTCAGGGAAATCTATTTACTACTATCACTATGAATTAATCATATGAAATAGATGTTAATTAGTTTTTCTATTAATAAATAGTAAGTGAAATGTCTGTGGGTGCTTCTTAATATAGATAAAGAGCATCAGGAATTAGAAAAACCTGATTACAAAAAGATTACAGCCCTGAATTTAGTAGAACATTACGTACCTGTGTAATAAGAAGATGTTTGCTATTTTTTAACAGATAACTCCATCAGGCTATTCAGAGAGTTTCTGCAAAGACAGACATTACAGGAGTCCAAATAAGCCTCAGTTAGAACATGACACAACTGGCAAACACTTTGGCAGAATAGGAATGAGTGAACATGAAACAGAAGAGAACTTGCTCACGTCTCTTCTAGGAGAAAATAGAACATCTGTACTGGAATCTACGTAAGTATGAGGGATATGCACTGCTTTTGACAGTATTTCTATTTGAGAAGAGAATAAAGTAATTTTGCTAAAGTGAATTTAGATAATGGCACTGTCTAATTTACCTGAGAGATTGGCAAGGCGCCTTCAGAGCCATTTTAGTCTATCATGGAATTAAGTAATTAGGAAACATACTATCAGTAGAAATCCCTATGAAAAACCCATTACAAGAAAAAAACTCTCCAAAGTTACCGATATACAGAGCTTTACTGTAGGGACTGATTGTTTTCAGGATTGGGGCTAGGAGTGTTAAGGTTCAGATGATAACACTGGGGGATGACACTGTACTGCTGTAAAAATTGTATGTGTAAGGAACTAAGGATGGAAGAAATGGAGTTACAATGACTGTTTTGCAGGGTTAATTTTGAATGGACATTACTGTATGCTTTGTGGCCTTTGCCATTTCATCTGAACTGCTTGGACAGAGGGTTGCTCTCCATCAGCAGTTTAGGGGGTTTGTGCCCATGTCCTGCAGTTGACTAATTGGTTATTCCAGTGCGATCACATGTAGGACTGTGCTGAGATGAACCATGCTGTAAGTACTTAGGTCACTTACCGTGCAGGAGAAAATACTTGTGTAGCTAAATCTGTATAAGCCCTAGTGTCAGCAGTGTTTTTCAGGGGGGTGTGTGTGTTACACTGTGGTTTGATCAGTTCCCAGCTGAAATGCTCATTTCCACAGAAACTGGACAATACCAAGCAAGAAAAGTGCATAGAAAAACCACACCCTTACTAGTCATGTTTCCCCCAATTTCATGCTTACACTACTTAATCTCCTGGTTGAAAACTAATCTCCAGAGCTTTGCTGGAGATCATCCTCATTATCCTTTCCTAATTCTCTCCCCATGGTAATAACTATGTACAGCATTACGGGACTTTTTTCAGTGCCCGTCGGTGCTGCTCCTTCAGCTAGCCCTCGTGCTTTCTGGAGAGTAATGGGAATGACCTGCCATGTATGTTGTGCTCAGCAGTGCTGGTAGCAGAATATCCTGTGGAATTACACAAGTCAAACCCCATTTTCTGTTGTTCAGCATGCACTGCACTTGACTTTACTCAAGCAATTCTATATTTTTACATTGCTATTTAAAACTCCAACACACATAAATGGTCTTAGTTGTCAAAGCACTAGTTAGTGGTAAATGAGGAGGTACTACTCTCTTAGAAGATGAATAGATAACATTGTTTTAGTTGTTAACTTTACTTAAAAGCCTGCTAATGAGTGATTCCAGCACCATCATCTTTACCACTCTAGGGCGTAATCTTTTCTATACTCAAGTATAAATGACCAGATTGACTGGTGATGAGCCTGTACTTTGCATAACTGAATTCTCACTAATGACATTAGATGCCAGAGAAAGACATAAAAAGCCTAGTTAGCTTCTACCATTTCAAATGCTAGCTATACAAATGCACTTGTTTTAAATGCTGGTTTCTATGTTTAGTGGCACAAACAGCTCTCTCCGATGCATGAAATCATCCGTAGAATTTGAGGGCTTGCTTATGCTTTAAATGTCTCTTGTTTGGCTTCGGTTTCGCCTAAAACATTGCTTTCCAAACTGTTGTCCATGGACCACTAGTTATCTGCAGGGCAGTTTGGTGGTCTGTAGTGAGCTGGTTTTGCAGGCTTTTGGCTGTTTTCTCAGTTTCCGTCTTTCCTGTACGTGGGAAGTATATGAAGGGATAGATTTCTCAGAAAACTCAACGTGTAGAGTGTCTTGTGGTTTTTGTAGGATTTTATTTTTAAGGTAATTAAATCAGAGAGTAAACTTTTTTGAAAATTCGTTCATATTTCTTATATTGCTGTGTCACGTAAGCAATTTACTTCATTACAAGAGGTTTAGTATCTGTTCACAAATGGGGAGAGGGGCAGTAGAGCGTATATTGTCCTAAATAGGAGAAAAGCATTGATGAGATAATTTATGATATAACTCAT